TTACCTATTCATGTAATGTGAAAGCAATACAATATAGTGTTGCATTTAGCACCTGGTACAAGACCAACAAGTAAAATTGCTGTCTTTCCCAGTTTCTTAACAAAAATCAAACAAAAATCACAATATTGAGTTAGGGTGCACAGAGAGTTCAATTAATTCTTTGTTGAGTCTGTCGAAAATTGCCCGCTGAGCTTACTAAAATAGCAAATGTACATACTGCATGAGCCTGTGAAAACAGCCATTTTTATTTTGAGGTTGGTGGTGTGGGTTGAATTAGCTGGGTGGAGTTTGGTTGGCAGGATAACATTTCTCCCCCATCTTAATGTAGGTTCTTTAATAGATAACTGAGCAGTCAAAACATGTTCATTGTGCATTTGCGGCATGTGAAAGAAGTTTAGTAGGCTGATGAAGGAGACCAGCAATATGGAAAATACACTAGATAAACACTGGCAAACCACAACTCAATGTTGACTGAAGATATTAGACTGTATTCACTAATCCTATCTTAAACACCATGAATACAACCAAGTCAGCTGCCTGTAGCTATCACCTAAAATGTTATTTCGTGTATAGCAACATTGAATAAACAGCCAATAAACACCAAGCACCCCTCACTGTCCGCCCTGTTAGTAAATTCAGATACCCGGTGTGTTTAGTTGACTCGAAATTTGCAAAACAATACTTAATTTCCCCATCAACTCCTAAATACCTTTAATTACCAAAAGCAAAGGTTTATCAGAACTTTTTTTATAACTTAATACAGCCCAATATAAATCTTACTTAACAAAACACAAAAAATAAATTGTATAAATTAAGTAAATTACATACATAAATTGACAATTAACTAAAAATTTTTTTATAAATTACGGTATATTAATAAATATATCAATATGTTACATGTGGTTACAGACCACTTATCTTATCTATATTGTATGTAATTAGGACAGTAAATAAAAAAAATAATAAATGATTTCTAAAATTAAAGGCATTAGTTTGCCGATTTTTGAATAGGGTTTTATAAAACATACATGCGTGTGTGATGACTAATCCAAGCACCAAGAGGATGTACATTTATTGATTTCTTCATTTTGTCACCTATCATTTGTCTTTGTCGTCATTTATTCTTCCATCCACTATTTAGCCATTCTCTTATGACTTTTTAATTATAAAAAAAAACAATATGAGAACCCAGCTAAAATGGAACAGATCATGCTAATTTTAATCCTAATGAACATTTTTCAAATAAGAAATGGGCTGCCATCTCAAATATCACTGATTCTTAATTCGATGCCAGATTTTCAAGAAACACAATTCTAATTGCAAAAAGTATCGAATTACCTGACCTGCTAAAATATTTTCTTTATGGCTATCTCATTCGTCTTTAAAATGAATTTTCTCTAATCAAATCCTTGAAAAAATCTCACTAATTATTTTATTATCTGGCTGTTCTGTGAACCATTATGAAAAGTATCATGAAAATGAATAGTTTTGGGTGTAAGATAATGTGATTTTATTCCTGAGAGAAGGGTAGGGTTTCACAGTGCTTCATTGCCCTGTCTCTCGTCTCAACAGAAAACAGGAAAAAGATAGAATACATAATTAAAACGGCAACAGTCTCGCAGCAATTATTAGCTTAAAGTGAAATTAACGGCTTAAATGGATCCGAGAGAGTCTGTTATGAAATGGACCAAGGTGACATTTGAACCAGGAATTTTAAGCTAAAACAAAGACCAAATTATAAATGAATTATTAACTATTCTGAATGGACTGTGATAGGAGGCGGTTTTTCTAGGCATCAATGTCTTGAAGAAAGTAAGTGACCTGTCTGGGAACAAATGTTGATTCCTTTTGTTCTTCAAGTTAACACCATACTTGGCAAGACTACTTGAAGAAAACAAACTAACAAATCAAGTACTCTTGACAATTTCTACATCAACTTTAACAGGATGACTTCTATTAGCACCATGGATGATCTTATCAAATATAATTAGTGTTTTAAACCATCAGACATGTAGATTCAGCAAAATATTAGGCACTTAATTAGTCAGGATTAATATCATTAAAGATTCCAGTCAGATATGTATATGTTCTTTTTAATTCCAGGCCAAAACTCACCCTTAAGCAACAAATTTGGCTTTATGTTTTCATTATGCACTTAATTAGTGGGAATGATTCAATTAAAGATTCCATTATATTAGTTTAAATAGGGGATATACATATACAATGTATATGCAATCATGTAGGGATGAAAACTCTTCAACACATAAATGACAAAGCCAAATGTACCATAATATCTGTTGCATAATCATTTAGACAATTCATATACTCTACTTTTTTATGGCATACCATCTTCCAAAAGGAACCCTACAATATCTATACATACATTTGGAGAAACCTATGTAGACAGGCACAGGTGAAAAACACATTAACATTTTATTTCCCATGGACCGAAAATTTCATAGTATAGGCCCTACTGTTTTTCTGAACATTCACAAACAACTAACCCAAAAATTAGATGATTTTGCTTAGTTTTCATTGTGAATAGCACAGACATTGGGTAGAAATAAAACTATTATTCCGAAGTTGGCATGTGTTAATGCTAGATTTCGTGTGGAATTAATTAATATGAAATGTGTCTGTTCATGTTCACTGTAGCATGGAATATACTGGCATCAGTTTTCACTTGCTAACACAATTATTGATTGCTTGAAATGGAGTCAAAGGGAAATTATTAGACTTCTAAATTAATTACTTATTTTTAAAATAAATCTATGAAAAAATGTAGTTAAAAACCATGAATTTTTATCAACAAGACATGAAAAATGTTTTTAGAAAATGAACTTCTTTACATATAAAAAAGATAAAATCAGAAAAAAATCACTTTGTTGAACAATTATAAAAATCTGTTTAAGAGAGTATATTATGATTATGGGTATATCATAAGTTTTCATCCATTTGTCACATGCAGTCATATCTTTATTTCTCTGTAAAAATCATCGAGATAAAATTAGGAAAATGGAAATAATTATTTAAAATGTTATCACAAATGCTTGTCTGAGTGTTTTATTATAAAAACACACATCTTCCCTCAAGGTGATAGAATTTCGATTTGATGTCTAACCATCTCGAAAAACTGACAAAACGCCACAAAGTACAGCTTCTCTTAAAAAGAATTGTTTAGTATCGTAATAATTAGTCCTTGTTTTGTCTTATATGACTCACGGGCATTACACTAATTTGATTAAGAAAGGCATCCGTCTTCTTAGAAGTCGGGAAAAAACAGTTAGAATATTCGGGAGAGCTCGACATGAATGTCTATCCAGGTTTCTAAGTTTCACCCAAGGGAAATTGTGTCTGATTCTAAGACACCCCGCTATGATCGACAAAACAGTTTTGTTACTGTTATGTTTTCCAGCATGGCGCGGACGGCAATGATGTCGGCCATGTTCCGCCAATCTTCTAAATTTCTTTCTTTGCCTCACGAACGTCTGATCAAACCATCTGAACATCTTAAAACAAACCAGGCTTTAGACGTTCTTGCTTGCACTGATTAGATACTAAAATTGACACAATTCAAATGGTCAAAACTAACCCGTCTCTCTTCGAGTGTTTTGCGAAAGTAAATATTGGCACAGTTAATTACGGCGTCTCAAACCCCCCAATATTATTGTTAATATGTCAATGGTGGCCATTTAGTGCAAATTATTTGATCACATCTGTCATATAATATTAATAATTACTAAAATCGCATTTTATTTGCTTTAAGAGATTTTTGTTAAGCCTTCTCCGGTTTACTGTGCGCTGCCTGTTTGCTGTTGGAAATGAACGGTTCGTGGGTTAAATCCTGATAATGGAGCTAGAGTAGTCGACTATACATTTCTACTCAAACGTCTTTAAATAATTATAGCACTTTTTGTGGAATTTGGGGCAGGACAAGCGATCTGGCTGTAACTACGCTTAAAAAGACGTCTATCTCGAGCTCGGGTTGATCTCTAGTCATTAAGACGCTCAAGTTTTTCACTTTATAAATCTGTAGAGAATTTACCGAATCGACCAGCTTAAATTCTTTTAATTTGATGTGCTGGGAATCGGGGTGGCGCATTTCAGTATTGACTTTGATCAATAAATAATCCCGAGAAAGGAATCTTACTACTGGCAGAACTCGGTAATTCATATCGTGTTAATATCAACAACTCGACACATACTGTTTCCGTTGGCCTCCTCACGTTTATGTGAATCAAATTTGTGCGCACAGATCAACAGTTTGAGCAAAAATACGAGAATTTCCTGTAAATGGCACCGTGAAAGCAATTTTACAGTTGGCGTTATTGCTCGTACCAGACTTCAGCCATATCTGTATAATATCATAAAATTACGCTTCATGAACTCAGAATAATATTATTAAAATGGAATCGATTTCAATTTTGGCGAGCGTGTATCGTTGTCTTTATCGCTCACTACACGACAGCTAATGCTCAAAGAGATATCATTATACTATGAACTTTCATAATGGCACTTTTTCCGTCTTCGCACTGCACATGTTAGTAAGAGGATTGTCACCGCCCACCAAAGGCACACATCAAAGGCCACGCGAAACCAGGTGTTTTTACTAGAGACCTTACCTTAGGTCTCTCCTAATCCATGACAAGTAAATGTGATAGAAACACTAGATCGGAAAATATGAATGAATATGGAATATATTGAAACAAGAAAGCCAATATTAGGTATATTAGTAAGTAAATGGTAGTATACGCGGAATGTTATCATAAGAAGAAACCAGGATTGACGCCTTTTTATATAATATAAGATGAATATGGGGTGTGTTTGCAACAATGTTATGAATATTTGGGATTGCGTGAATTACCATTGTGTGTTTTTCTTATATAGTGTGTCTTGGATAGTATTCATATGTAAATGTATAGTATACCGTTGAGCTGTAATAAAACACGTGCATGCATGCTATATAATATAGTGAAATAAGGTGAGTAACAGAAACTTACCTTTAGAAACTGATACCAAAAACGTCACCAGAAACAGCATTAGAAATGGTACGGGACTCCTCCCCTCCATTATGTGTGAATTTGACATCCTTGAATATCATATAAGAATTATTTTAAACATACACCATTTGACTATCCAGCTTAATCACGACTATTGTAAGTAATTATCTCTTCGCTAATCACACGTTTGTCTTTAATCCACACTTAGTTTTATAACTTTTACCCATATCACTCAGCTTATACGTGTATTTTGGGTTCATCAACATTAACGTACATCTGATGCGTTATACACTCTCTTAGTAAAATACATTCAACAAAACATACAACAGTAGTAATCCTTGAACAGTGTTTTAAGCGGGTTGTCCTATGCAACGAACGGTATCCCAATTCTGTAACTCGGCGGCAAACACGAATGACAGTGTGCCTGGAAGTAAACCTGTAATTCTCAGTAAGAAGATCACTTGTCTATCTGTTGACTTTTGTTGTCCAAGGTTTGTTGTTCATTCATTTGCAGGCCATGCACTGATAAACCTACGGGCTATAGTGAAACGGATTGATTGGGTTTCAAGCCAAGCGGATCCAAGAGGTTAATCTAGGCGTGTGATTGGTTTAAGCAAACCCTTATATCCACCCATTCCCGTTGAACGCGTTTGATTGGTCGCCTGTGAATGACTGACAGGTTTTAGTTCTAATACCTCTTAGAGAGCGATTACGGTTGACACGAGGCTAGTTAAATGAACAGTAAATAACCTGCCTTATCCAAAACATTTTTGTGTATTCAAACAGTTTATTCAACGTATAATTACAAACCCATTATCCCATAGATAAGATAAGGAGAGAGCAATGGAACAGTCAACGTAATCTCTTTAATTTACTATACCGCAACTCCAAAAGGGCATTATAAATCGCCTTTTACTTGCTTGATGACAATAATTTATCAACATGGTCACATCGGAAGTTGTAATATTAAGGCATCAAATTACTTTCTTACTTTCATAAGCCTTCTTTCAATCTATAGCAACACATTTATTTATTAAATTAAAGTTATTGGTGTGAACAAAACAAATGATAGACGAGGATGGGTTATTTGGTTATTGTGGTGGCATTATTGTTTTGTAAGTACATATTTGGCATAACATCTTTCAACAGGGATCTGATTAAACAGACTATTTTCCATAGTGATATTCGGGACCATTTAGCCAGGGCAGCGACGTTTTCGCTTATGTTCGAGTTTTATCTGCCTTATATGGAATACAAATGGCGTTTGATTCTAAACTAAACGATTCTAATGATTTTCCAGGGTGGTGTCCATTTGTAAGTGGTGACTGAGGGCCTGGCAAGGAAGTGCGTATAGTTGTTCGTGTGGGACGAAAAACCCAGGTCCGGCGTGTAACAAGTTGGAATTCGACGAAGGGTAAGCAGAAAAGACGCTGACCGGACAAAATGTTCCCTCAATAACCCACTGTATGGGTGCATTCCCGTTTTCGTGAGACCGGTTGGTCCAGAAAAGGACAAACTCAAATTTATTTCACTTATTAGGGTTTGTGTACAAAACTTCATTTTATATCATCCCTTTATTCCTAACTGTTTTCAAATGTCACTACAGGCCTGGGACTGTACAGCGCATGGACGCTTACGGCGAGCACCCGGATCCATTCACTTGATTTGAATCCGGATCCATTCACTTATTTGAATTGTGCGTTTGTTTGTGAGTTCTGCGTTATATGTCGTGTCCGTATATTTGTTTTTGTGTAAATTATGTGTGGTGCAGTCCCCCTGCACTTACTATTAGAGGGTTTTCTAGACCTTCATCTTGATTAGTTCCGTAACCTCATTGCTCCTGCAAATTTAACATGCACACAATGCCTATTGTATAATCAATCATCTGGAATATACAGCAATATTATCGAAACATTCCACAAATATGAATAACATTTTAATGTAGACCAATTCTTAAAATATAACTTTATTTCTGCACACGCCCACAAGTGAAAGATAATTCATTCATAGTGCAAAAGAGGCAACGTATGCTCTTAAAGAATGCGAGGAGGAAATATGTATATTTTCGGATTTTTTTGTTCTTTTACAGAAAACATACATCTAACTCACTTCCGTCATGTAGGTATAACGTAAGAAGATGCGGATCTATAATTAAACCCTTTCCAATGCTAATTTTCATCTGATAAACTAATTAGAATACGCGAAGATTATGTCATTAATTTCAAAGGTTTACAAATAAGTCGTTCTTTTTGATGTGAATAATGCTGAATTGAAAGTATTCCCACGTCAATGCTTTATCTTTCTTTTAACCTTCTCGAAAAGTCATCAGTTAAGATGGTGTACTGTGATATGGCGGACTTATCAAAACTCTTAGCAACCAGGCTTCCCGTGGTTCGCTTCATTACATATCCACATAAAAGAGGCAGTGCATTATCTATTAATCTGGTATAATTACTGATCACTATTCCCCCCTCCTAGTTATTATAGGTGTGACTCTTTAATAGAACTGGTCCGAAACTGAAAATCAGAACAGGTTGATCGGCTCCCCTCGGCTGTTTGACTAACAGAATACAGAAACGTGATTCAGGACATGTATACACACTGATTATAAAACTGTTATCTCACTGCTTAGTTACTTATTTATCTTACACGAAATTGTTCTTGTTGACAGAATTATAGTGGACGATAGATAGGCTGTAATGTAAAATGATTATTACAAAACTGACGTCCACTCAGCAAAATTGATCAAATGAAATTTTCAAAAGTCAGGAGATCATTACCGTGCTGCCAATCGTATACACAGGTCCCCAATTTTTTTATTCCATCCGAACAACTAGATGCATTTTGTTACCCCTGTACCACTGACCAGGGGGAAACCGGGATGGGAAATCTCGGGGAATTATCTCTGACAACACCGAGATACATCCTTTTAAGTGGATCAGAACCCTACTCACCGAGCCACCGTGTACTGAAAGTTATGGGCTTTAATTTTAGCAATTGCGCTTTTAGGTTGTCTTTTTTAATAGAGAAGTTGACCAAGGCAAAAACGTCGCCTTCACCCTCTTCTACGAATTCCAACTTTTAGGTACAGTTATCTGGAAAGTCTATCCTAACCCCCACACATTCGTCGTTTGAACAATTGTTAGATAATTTATCATTCTTGGCGGTGTTCAAAGGAGAGGAAGTTGCGTGGAATCTTGGAATCCGGTTTATTATATTACAGTATAAGAGGGTGGCGTTCAAAATATCTTCAGTATGTAATAATTGAAAGGTTCTGTTTAATATATACAACGTTCTGTTTAATATATACAACCTCTTGTAATCATCGATTTAATTGAATTTTAAATAGAATTTCAAGTAAACAACATGCACACCACCTGTACACAATTTCTAGTACTTTAAAGAGGTATATACATTTACTTTGGAGAAAGCCATCGATAGTAAAAAAAAACCCGTTTAAACCACACCCAACCCACACACAGACACAAATGATGCTTTGTACAATGCAGGATGTGCTTAACCTTTCCTAATACACTGTGGCCTTATACATGGGGCTCCAGTTGACAAACTACTCGTTTAGTACTCATCTGGACATTTTCCACAGATTTGGCCGATAAAGTTCTCCGGGAGTTTCCAGTTTAGCCCCCCCCCCCATGTCAGTGATGTAAGAGGGGGGTCTGACAAGGAACTGAACTGAACTGAAATGGGGTTTAACGTACTACTGTTTTGCTCCTAAACTGGGCTAATGAAGACGGGCATACACCTTACAGTGTGCTATGAGGGAAATTTTGCACGGGCAGCGGCGCTACGGCCTACTCTTATATCGAATTCCAACTGCCAAGGGATCTTTTACGTGCACGCCAATTTGTACACGGGGCCTCGGTTTTTCGTCCCATCCGAACGACTAGACAGCTGTCCTTGTCAGGCCCTCCATCCTGCATCACTGACAAGGGGAAACCACGCCGGAAAATCGGGATGAACTTTCTCGGCCAATGCAGGGATCGAACACCCGACCTCCAGGCTAGCGAGTCAGTGTCTTACCCACTTAGCCACGTGATCCCCCCTGACAAGGAACAGTGTCTGGTTGTTTGGATGGGGCGAAAAAAGATGTCCCGTGATAGTTTAAATTCGAAATAAGACTAGGTCGTAGCGCCGTTATCCGGACGGCGTTTCCGTTTTCATGAGGCAAGGTGGGGCAAAAAAGTAGGACATTGAACCTCATCTCAATTGATATTCTTCGGTTCTGTGTGTTGATGGGCAGTTAGGGCGCATTGTCTATTATAATTGGGTGAACCATTCTATCCCCACTCTCCCCCACCACCTCCTCCTTTCGCAAATCCAACATAAGACTATTCACCACTGGCCACTGCACCATTATCAGCCAATCAGTACCAAAACAACCATTTATTTATTCCTGTCAGTCTCTATGCAGATTGTTGGTTGATACTCGTAACAGTCACCCTCATTCCAGTGGTGCTTTTTGTGATGGTGTTTTATTAGAATTGGGGGGTTGGATGGCCCTAATGGTTAGCACGTGCGCGCTGTATCATAAGGCCTGTCATTGAGTCAAGTGGCGTGGTTTCGAATCCCTGGTTGTACGTGACAAGGAGTAGGATCGCCTGTCCAACCTCGTGGGTTTTCTCCGGGTCCTCCGGTTTCCTCCCACTGCTAAAGACCCCAAGGCGCAAGCGAATTATTAAAATTTAAAAACAAAACCCAAAAAAAAACATAAGTTAGTCCCGAAATGACCTAGTTTGTGCCGAGTGGACGTTAAACCCCATCTCTCTCCCCCTCTCTCTCTCTCTCTCTCTCTCTTATTAGGATTGTGGTTTTAGCTTCATATTATATTATTATCTACAAATTATATTATAGATTATTGTGTATCACACATAGCAAATGGATTTTCTAAGACAGTGTGTTTGTTTCTTTATACTGTAAATTGAAGTGACACTTCTAAGGTTGACCTCAAGGAAATAATCTGTATCTTATCTCTGTATTCAATTTACGATTGAACCGCAATGAAATCGATAAGTATACATATATATTATTAGTAATTATCGTAGAAGAGACGAGGCAATCTACGCGAGGCGTGAATTTGTTATTTTCTACATCTATAGGGGAAACGTATAGGAAATATTGTGCCCTCTTGGAAAACTAATAATTATTCTGGTCTGAACAAACAGTTTTATGAGACGAAGATAATAAAAGTTGTCGATCAATAACAATGTCAAGTGTGATAAATATATCAATCTAATCAAATATTCAAAAATCCATTATAACTTCTGACTGCAGTCGCTATATAGACCTTTCCACACTTTATCACAGGAGAACCAATTTACCATGACGTCGTTGTAGGGACTGGTAACCGCGCCCCCTGTGGTCAAACTTTCCAAGATCGTGTGGACATCTGATGACCGATGGGCTTCAGTCATGCCAAACTGACCAAACACGTGGCCCGTCCGGTGTCAGGAGTAGAAGCCATTGTTTAAATTGTTTGTCAATTTAGGAAATATTTTCAACTTGATTATATTGATGATGGTTAGCCACGTGAGACG